TGGCCTTTCATGTGATAGTCAGGATTCTCTAGAGCAGCGGCTCTCAACCTTCTCAGTGCTGCGACGCTTAGTGCAGCTCCTCCTGCTGTGCTGACCCCGCCCTAAAATCATTTCAACATTTCCACTTCATAACTGTCACTCTGTTACGAATTACAATGTATTGTGCAGGATATCTGAAATGTGAGCCCCAAAGGGGTCACACGCCACAGGTTGAGAGTCACTCCTCTGGAGGAAGAGAACAGAACGAAGGGGAGGCACATTACGAAGGGGGGGTGGTGATTAGCTTGCTTTACATAGTGCAGGCTGGGTACTCCAACAGCATGCTGGAGAGCCAGAGAAACTCAGTACAGAGGTCGGCGCACCGCAGCAATCCCACTCCGGCACTGAAGTCATGCAGGTTCCTGGGGAACTGCTGTTCATATCAGGTGAGTTGTGATGGCCGCAAAGGATGGAGCAGCATCGCAGCAACAGGGTAGATGCATTCACCAGCCAGAAATGAAGGAATTTGAACAGTTTAAGATACTTAGAAACTATGAGTTAACTCCCAAGGTCCAAATGAGGAGCAGAAGGAGGGAGAACATGAGCAAGGAAGTCAGGACCACGAGGGGTACGTCCACCCACTGAGTCAGTGGGACTGATCTAATGGGAGCTCACCTAGGCCAGCTGGACTGGGAGTGATGGAGCATGTGATCAAAATGGACACATTGAATGTGGCTGACAATGAGGGCTGACTGAGAAGCCAAGGACAATGACACTGGGTTTTGATTCTACTGTGTGGACTGACTTTGTGGGAGACTTGTTTGTTTGGATGCTCACCTTTATAGACCTGGATGGAAGGGGGAGGACCTTGGACTTCCCATGGGGCAGGGAACCCTTACTGCTCTTAGGACTAGAGAGGGAGGGGGAGCTAGGGAGGGGGAGGGAAAAGGGAGGCAGGGAAAAGGAGGAGGTGGAAATTTTTAAGAAAGAAAGAAAGGAAGGAAGGAAGGAAGGAAGGAAGGAAGGAAGGAAGGAAGGAAGGAAGGAAGGAAGAAACTATGAGTTAAAATGGGACAGTAGTTCCTGCTCTCTCAGCTGTCATCACTAACTCTGTTTCCAATGGTGCTACATTCAATAATGGTTATGATTTGTGGGGCTGCCTATTAACGACAGAGATTACAGAAGCCCCTGGAAGGAGAAGCGATGACCAACTGCACCTTTGACTCCTCAATGGCTCCTGTAGGCACCCCACACACCAAAGTTCCTCTAGCGACTACCATAGAGAAATCTTTACTGTCTCGGTCTTGTCAAAAGGGAACACAAGAGGAACTGAGAGGTGGTTGCGTAGTTAAAGGAACATACTGTTCTTGCAGAGGACCCAGGTTCAGATTCCAGCACCTAAAACGGGCGGTTCACAATGACCAATCTAGCTCCAGGATGAGATCTTCTGCCTTCTGTGGGCACCTGCATTCACAAGCACACACCACAGACACATAATTTACATGACATATATCTCGTTTTATGTTAATGTAAGATAAGTTGTGTGAGAAAAAGGACCCATTAGTGGTGCGGGAGAATTATCTGTATTCTGTCAATCATGTATTTTAATAAAACGCTGACTGGCCAGGCAGGCAGTATAGGCGGGTCAACCAGACAGGAAGTAGAGGTGGGGCAAAGAGAATAGAATAAGGTTACGGAGGAGGAAGGTCCCTCCAGCACTACTGCGCAGATCACTGAAGAAGCAACATGTAAGCTGCCCCCGCTGGAAAAGGTACTGAGCCATTATGGCTAACATAGATGAGAATAATGGGTTAATATAAGTTATAAGAGTTAACAAGAAGCCTGACCTAATGAGCCAATCAGTTTATAACCTTATGGAGTCCTGTGTGTGATTTTTCTTTGTTGCTTGCCGGCTGTTGGGATACCAGGAGGGACAGAAACCCCAACAAGCTGGCCCTCATGTTACACATTAGACTATGGATTCTTCCTCAGTCCCAAAACATTGTGCATGTGGTCTTTGTGCCAAGCTAGATAGCCAGAAGTTATACCTCTCAACCACACTAGAGTTTCCAGCAGAATCTTCCCCACCAGCTATGTCTTCTGCTAGGGGCTCTTACCTGATCCTTTTAAACAGTACAGTGTTCCAATCTTAGAAATAGGCATCTGAGACACTGGTTATCCTACAAGTAGCTCGAACTTGCAACTAGGGTTAAGTATCACCCCTTTAAGAACAAAATTTGGGGTTGATAATCATGGATCTTCCTCTAAACTACTGTTTCTAAATAGAGTTCTTCCTATGGAGGCCATGGTCTGTTACCCACATCCATCCCACTCCTGGAAGCCAAATGGCAGCCCTGGTCCTGACAGCAGTGACAGGAGACAGCACGCGGCGGCCACCAGAGTGCCTGATGTGCAGGATGGGCCAGTGAGCTGCAAAATTAAACTCCTCTTTTTAGAAGCCATTTGTGTGTTGAGGAAGAGAATAAATAAGTTAACACCATGGCCACTTAAAAAATGCATTCAGACAGAGAATTTATTTGACTATTTCAGACCAACGTGGGAAAATGAGCTCTATAATTGAAATGGTAATGGAATGAGTGAGGCGTGGGGGGGGGGGGGTCAGGGCATCCTCAGAGGTGGTGTCCTCAATAAGCTGGCAACTCAAGACAGAGGCTGTACAAAAAGACAAGAAAAAGGGAAGATTTTCTGGATGAAAAATGGGGTCCCTGTGGTCTGGGCTTCTGCATTTAGCGTCATTGTAGGACCACAGTGGAATTGCATGACAATGTTTGGTTGTCCTTGGTCACATCTTCCTCTGTCCTCCTCCCTGTAAAAAGCAAGCCTCCTGTCCTGCCCTCATGTCCACTGATACTAAAAGTGTACTCATGCCTTGACTCTTCTCTGGGTGCCTTGACTCTTCTCCAGGTGCCTGACTCTTCTCTGGGTGCCTCGACTTTTCTCCGGGTACCTTGACTCTTCTCTGGGTGCCTTGACTCTTCTCTGGTGCCTTGACTCTTCTCCGAGTGCCTTGACTCTTCTCTGGTGCCTTGACTCTTCTCTGGTGCCTTGA